GGGGGGGGTCTGATTATAACTTTTTGTGCTTCAGCTCTGCGCCCTGTTTCCCCAGCCCCTCACAGGGTGCGTGGAAGGTCTCATGCGGCTTTGCTGTGTGCGGTGAAAGAACGCTGTAAGCAGGGAGCTCTGCCCTGCTGTGTGTTTTCCTTCCTTTGGGGTGGCTGGGACTGTGGGTGTTATGACCAGGGCAAATTTTTTTCCCTGTGGCCTTGAGGGAGGTGTTAAATGAGCAGTAGATGGCTGGCAGCTGGGCTCAATCTCCTCTAGCAAATAAAGCAAAACCAGGTGCCAGTGCGGGCTACCTTTTGCAGAGGAGGTAGGAAAACATGCTTGTAGTATCTCTTCCTCTCCCTTTGTGCTGTTAATTCAGAGTTGCAGCCTGGCACTTCTAGCTGTGTCCTCCTGCCTTTACCAGGGTCCACGGGTTCTGGGTGCCTTCGCTCTTTGCCCTTGCCATCTGCACCTACCCAGCACACCTTGTTCCTCAGCCCTGGTGCCGAGTTTCTTGTGGGCTCTGCCGTGTGCTGAGGAAGGCTGATTTCTGAGTGCAGGTATTGTTGTGATTTTGTGTTGTCCCTCCCCGCCGCCAGGTGCAGGTGTCCATAACAGGAGCTATGGTGCGCATTGGTGACCAGGTCATCCTGGAAGAAGTTTTCGATGAGACGTGTGTTCCTACCGAGGAAGGTAAGGGATGCCTGGCCTCTCAGGAGCTGTGCTAAGGGAATCGGGCATGCAGGTCGCTTCTAGGTGTATTAGAACAGGGGAGTCAGGTGAGCATGAGTGGAGAGGGTAGGATAAATGGGGTTTAAATAGAATGCAGAGCTGAAAAATTAGCTTTTTGGTTGCAAAGATTAAAATGCCATTTTGCAGCCTGTCTGCCTGCTTTACTGGCCTGGTAGGACATACTTGCTGACACAGGGCCACGGTGGCAGCTTAGACCAGTTTAATTTCAGGATTTCTCAGTGTGCCTGTTGCTTTAGCTGAGGAGATTGGCTTTATTTTGTAGTGCATGCTGTAGACCATCTTCACAGGTTCTTTTTCTCTTTTCCTAGAAATTTGGGATTTTGCCCGGGAACTCGGGATTGACCCTGAGAAGGAGCCGGAGCTGATGTGGGTAGCTGAGGAATGCCTTATGGCCATGTTACCCCCTGAGTGGAAGCCCTGGTGAGAGCTCTGTCAGCAGCTGTCCTGTGAGATCCCTGCTGAGTGCTGCCCACGCATCTGGCAAGGCGGGTGGCGGCTGCTGGGGGGGGGGGGGTCATGTCCCCGCAGATGGGCTTCCTGGGGGTGGGGAAGGGCTGTTTTCACTGTTGGGGCTGTTCTTACCATGCAGCCAGGATGTCACGGGGGATATCTACTACTTTAACTTTGCTAATGGCCAGTCCACGTGGGACCACCCCTGTGATGATTACTACAGAGCCCTTGTCATTAAGGAGCGAAAGAAGCTGCTGGCACAGGGCAGCTTGAAAAAGAAAGAGAAGAAAAAGAAAAAAGAAAAGAAAGGGAAGAAAGACAAGAAGGAGAAGCAGGTGCTGAAGCAATCCACTGTGAGTAGGCTCTGCTATTTGCAGTGCTCTTGGGGGAGAGCAAGAGGGCTGCGCGGAGGATGAACAAGTGGCTGTGAGTTAGAGGGTGATCCTGTGCTGCTGCTGCTTTAGGATCAGGACAGCAATCCCCTGACAAGGGATCCTGACCAGCAGGGTTGTGAGTGAGATCAAAATCCAAGTGGAGTTACAAGCCGTCATAAGTTAGGAAGCTTTGGTTTAGGCAGCCACCCCTGGAGTGGGGCGTCACAGCTGTGCGATGCTATGGCTGAGCAGGATAAGGCATAGAGTCATAGAATAGCTCGAGTTGGAAGGGACCATGGAGGCCACCTAGTCCACCCCCCGCCCCTGCAGTAAGCAGGGACACCTTCCCCTAGATCAGGTTGCCCAGAGCCCCATCCAACCTGACCTTGAATGTTTTCAGGGACCTCCCTGGCAACCTGTTCCAGTGTTTCACCACCCCAAGTGTAAAAAATTTTTTCCTTGTATCTAGTCTAAACCTCTCCTCTTTTAGTTTAAAGCCATTACCCCTTGTTCTGTTGCTACAGGCCCTGTTATAATGTTTATCCCCATCTTTTACCTCCCTCAACCTGCTGGGGTGATCCGTGTCTCTCCAATTGAGAGACGAGGATGTCATGTGGGACAGTGTCAAATGCTTTGCCCAAGTCAGGTAAATGTCGGTTGCTCTTCCCTTATCCACCAGTGCTGTAGCCCACACAAAATGTGTAAATTAAACTGCTTTCCTGACCCGTCTCAGTCATGGTGATTGCTGGATGGGGGTGCTCACAAGCCATTTTTGGCGGCGGTGGGTTTGGTACCAGCAGCCAGTGTTTGCACAGGGAGCACTTTCTCCCTTTTTGGAGTTGGGGTGTCAGCTGTGTTCCCACACTCCTGTCTCAGCGAGTCCCTTCTGCCCACTCCAGCCCTCAGACACCCTGCTGGCACCTGCCCTGCGGACCCTGCCTCCGCTGCGTGGCCCTGTGGCTCCTCTGTCCGGCATCCTCCACGGATCACTGACCTCGGACGTGGGGAGCTCAGCGGAGTTCAGCCTTGTGCCCAAAAGAGGAATGCAGGTAAGGATCCGTCTGCACTGCGACAAGGTGTGGTGATACTTAAATGGGAGTATTTGTGATCTCTTGTCAGTTTTGAAATACTTTTTTCTGGTAAAAAAACCACCCCACTTCCCTACTCTCTTTCACTGTATCTTTTTTCTTTTGCTGTTATCCCATTGTTAATTTTGTGGTGAGCTTTCTACTGTTGTGTTGAGCAGGTGTAAAGAAAGAACTGTTTCAGTTACTGTTGGGGGAAAAATGTCTAAGTTCATTTTAGCAGAACTTTGATTAGTGTCCAAATGAAGCATGACGTACAGTACAGATAATGTAATCTAGTAAAGAAAACTTTCACTTAACTATTATCTGAGATTAAAAAAATTAAAAGAACAATTTTCTGGATGGATGTAAAATTTACAATCATGTCAATAATTATTTATATAATGTGACCTTTGGGTCAACAAAACAAACATGTCCTAAGTGGGAAGAAATTGACATTTTTAAAGGAAAATAAAACAATGTATGTGCCAAATGTTATACAAATCAACAACCTTCACTGAAGGTTTTCTCCTTGCTGAGTTAAGTCCTCTCACTGATTTCAAACACTTCCTTTTCTGGTCTTGCTGGAGTTGGTGTTTTGAGGCACAGGTGGGTTTTGCAGGGATGTGTCTCTAGGATGGGATGTGTAAGGGGAAGTGCTGCCTCAATACATCCTCTGCGGGCTGGATGTGGCTCTGCAGAACAAGGGTGGTGGTGTCATCTGAGCACCTTCTCAGAACTCAGCTGCTTCCCTGCTGCTGGCCGGTGTCCAGCGTGCCTCAGTGGGTCTGTATCTCGCCTTTGCTTGGCCTGTCCCCTCACCTCCCTTTCTCTTTCTGACTTTGCAGCCTGCAGAGACCTGTAAGCCCACCAGCCAGACCAAGACATTGCTGGACTTGGTCTGGAAAGAGAAGATGTCCCTGAACGCAGCAGCTGTAGATGAAAGTGGAAAGGAAGAGGAAGACAGTGAGAATGAGGTAGTTGGTGTGCCTTGGCTCTTAATGTGTGTTGGTAACCATGGTGCATGAAGCCTCAAGGAATGAAAAACTGGTGCTCCCACAGTAATAGCTGCTTGTCTGTGGTTGTTCCATTTCACTCCGGGCTTTAATTTGTGCTGCATTTCCTCTGTGTGGTGTTTGCTTGCTGGAAAAGCACCTAACCCTGTTTTCTCCTTGTACTCCCTGTGAATTGGCATCTGCCACGATGTATTGCCAAAGGGAATTGGCCGTAGGCGTCCTGCCTTGGTGTGCTGCCGTGGCTCCGCTGCCCCAGTTCACTGCTGGGAACCCCCCATTCCTCCCGGGTGCCTGGGGGATTGCAGAGGTTGGGACTCACTGGCTGTCTCCTTTTTTTAATCCTTTTAGACCTTCAGTGGGACAGCAAGGCTGCTCAAAAACCTGCATGTGGACATCAGTGCCCTGGGAGGCAGCTTTGACTCAGAGGTAAGGCAGCGGGCGAGGAGGTGGGAGGAGAGGAGCTGCAGCACTGCCGGCCAGCACGTGGCTGGGGAGGGAGAGCCCAGGAGAAGAGCTTGAGGGACAAGTTCTGTGTCACCTACGAGCAGGAGCAGCCTGGGGAAGAAGGCACAGCAGCAGGGCTGGGGGGAGTGTGGCTATCAAGGCAGGTTTGTGTGTGAAGGAGAATGCTTGCAGTTTGGTGAGTGGGATTTGAGAAGAGGCAGCATCTTTGTACAGTGTGGAGCTCTCTTTCTTTCTGAATGAAGAAAGAGAAACTTAGAGCCAGGTAGGTGCGATGGGCAGGCTGGAAGTGGGCTCTGCCGAGGAACGGCAGAAAGAAGAGGGTCTCGGACTGGAGAGGTTCCAGGGCGCTTGCTGCAGGACGAGGGCTTGTTGAGGGAGAGGCACAGTTTGCTTCCTCGTCGCTGTTCTAGTGTGTGTGGAAAGAGAGTTCATTCTTGGCTGAGGCTGCAATGGGAGCACTGGGGAGAGGGAAGGGGAATGGAAACACTGTTCTTGCACAGCCACTCAGGTCCACAGGAATCACTTGGAAGCCTGCACATGGCCACTTTCCTGTGGCAACCTAAACCCCATTTTCTTTCTTCTTGCACTGCTGAGGAGTTCCGTGGCTCAGACAGCACTGGCAAGGAGTTGAACACACGCATGGCCTCGTGCGGCCGCTTTGCTTTCCCTGCGGGTGCGCGCTCTGCCTGCGCTGCCTTCGTGCTCGTCAGGCTGAAGCTGACAAGGGCACAATGGGAAGTGCGTTGCAAGCAGCTCTGGTGATTTGGCTCCACTGTTTGCACTGACAGAAATCCTTTCTCACTGCTTTGAAAATTCAGTTCCAGTATCTGAAAGGCAAATTAATTTATTTTAAAGTAATTTTGAGTATTTCCCTGATCCTTTTCACAGCATAGAGAAATTAAGCTGTAAAGTACTTTGCTGGAGAGCCCATTCACAGCGCTGGGCAGAAACTGCAAAGGCTTAAGCTAAAGTGGATGTGAAAAAGAAAGGCCTGACTTGCTTGTCTCTAGACAACAAGCAGCCTGTCGGAGCCCAATTCGTTACCGAGATGTTAATGTGTCCAGGAACAAAGAGCTGTCTTGGCATTTCAGTGCCGCGGCAGGGCGTCAGGCATCTATTGTGAAATGGCAATTGCTGCCCAACAGCCAGGCTCTGGTAACCCAGATGGGCGATACCTTAGTCCTGTGAAGATATTAATGCCCCACTAAAAACATAATTCACTTGCAGTTCCATGAGATGGCAGTAGCAAGGCATTCTGATGAGCGAGGCGCAGCCCCAGTGTTCTCCAGCTTCCTCACAAAATGGAGAGAAGGGAAGGATTTGTAAAGCAAGCCCTACAGGGGGGAAGTCTAAGCAGTAATGGGGTGAAGTGATTAATCGAGGCTGGCTTCACGTAGCCCGTGGGTCTGGGTTGGACCCCTATATTCCAAGGAAATAAGCAAGCTTGCTGAGACATGAGGATGTTGGGCGAAGGTAGGGGCTGCATGGAAGATGGCATGGGGGTGAGGGAGGAGAGATGGAAAGAAATGCTGTCCCCCTTTGTGGCTCTTCTGGAGCAAGGAGCAGGTTCACTGGGGAAAAGGCAGTAGAAAAGAAACCTGAGCCAGATGCTGGAGAAGTTGAGGTGTGAGGTTTATGTGCAGTAGTTAGAATGTACTCTTGGAAAGAGGGGCTCTTCTGGGCAGCCTGGTTTGGCCAGCACCCTGGCCACTCCTGGGGTTAGCTCTCACCTGAACCCAGTTTTCTTGCCTCTTGGGTTCTTGTGATGGAATAGTTGCTGCAGACATGCAAGATTGTGCTCTAAAGTAGAAGGGCAAGAGGAGGAAAAGGACTGGAAGCATCTCTGGGTGCCTAGGGAGAAGGTCCCACAGCAGCAGAAGTGACCCCCTGATGCAGTGCTTGCAGCTTGGGAGGTTTAGTGCTCTGCCTTCTGTACAGGTCTGGGTAAACACTGGGAGTCAGGGGGGGTCCTTCACGTGGTGGGAAACTACCCCGCAAGGCTGCTGTACCAGATGGAGATGTGTGAAAGGGAGTCTTGTAAATAAACATTGCGCAATACAGCTCAGGGTTTCTGCGGAGATGTATGTGCAGGAAGCGGAGCTGCTGCTTCCCAGGCAACCAAGACCTGTAAAATGGCTAGTGCAAGGGGAGGGAAGGCTGCTGTGTTCACAGCCTTGTGCTCCCCTTTGCTGGGGGACTGGCTGAGAACTGCTGTAGCAAGCCACTGCTGGGGGGTCCTGGGCTGGGAAGAGCCTGTTCCTGCAGCTGGCCAGCAGGAAAAGCAGCAGCAGTAAAGCATGCAGAGCATGAACAGCTTGATCTTTGGGAATCTGGGCCTGGGAGCTCCTGGGCACAGGTAGGAAAGCTGCTCAGCTGCAGAGCTCTCAGCTCCAGGGGCATGCAGTGAGTGATGCAGGGTGGTGGCCTGTCCCCGGCGAGTGGCCCCAGCAGCTCAGCCCAGGGGATGAGGGTTTTGCTGTTGGCTGTGTTGCCCACCCCCCAGGAGCACAGCAGAGCGGAGGAGGCGAGCTGTGGCAGCCAGCGGCTAGCTGATGTTGCTGAAGCTGATGGCCAGCACCGGAGGAGTCCCGCCGAGGAAGCTCCCAGCCTCAGAGAGGTGATGCGTGGCTCTGACATCATGGTTCTGCTTGCATGATGTCACTGACGCTTTGCATGCAGTAGGCAGCTTCTAGTGTTGTGGTGTGGAGCTGGTAGTTGCTTGAATTTTTGTTCTGCTGGTTCAAGTATTTACGTGCATGGAGAGAGGTGTAAACTTAAAACCAAGGGCAAGTGCTCCCCAGGCTGACCCAGCCCTCTGTGTGCCTGAGAACAGCCTGAAACAGGGAGCAAGGGGGGGAGAGCATCGGCTCCCAAAGGCATTCTGTATGCAGTTTGAATTTTTTTCCTTTTAAAGTTAGAAGGATTGTGAATTTTTTTGTTGTAATTGCTCACATTCAACCTCCTAAAGCCCAAAGAAGTGGCATAGCTGTCCTGCTTCCTGAGGTGAGTAGGATTCTGTTTTGGTGGCTGCTGTTCACGTCCAGATCGGATGCCTTTCCAAAGCCTGCTCCCCTTGGCATCGATGTGCTCTTCTCCAGACTCCTGCCCATCAGTGGAAGTAATGATTTGAGAGGCAGGAATTTCACATGAGTTAGTGTCACTCAGCTGCAGGTAAAATGTGTTGCAGCTTGTGAAAAGATCAGCTAAAGCCAATTATAAGCTGGCTGGCTTGTCATAGCTTGGAAATCCATAGAAAATCCATAGTCTGCTTCTGCATGAGGAAAATCTCCCTCCGGCTCCAGCTGTGGGTCTGGCTGGCATGGTTCCCTCCTCTGGAGAGTTGAATTTGTGCTCATTAAGGTGTAATGTTAACAGAAGTTTTCTGTCTGTTCTTAAAACATTTGTGCTCATTAAGGTGTAACATTAACAGAAGTTTTCTGTCTGTTCTTAAAATAGGATTCTACCGGCTAAATAAATTATTCTAGGATATTCTAGTAACTGAGATAAACTTGCCTGGAGAGAAATCCTTCTGGGTGCACAGTGTTACTGGGTCTAGTGGTCATTCTGTGGTGGTGTGTTGTGCTCCTCAAAGGGAAGTATCTGTAGTGTTTTGAAGAGAAAGAATCCCGATGGGTTTCCCTTGGCATTTTTCTTCCTGGGCACCATCAGGTCTCCTGGAGAGAGATCCTCAGGAAAAACTCTAAACCAAGGCTGTCCAAAGGGGCACACAGCTTTCCAGCTGCCCAGGTAAAAGGGAGCATAACGAGGACTCCTCCTCTGGAGTAACACTAAAGATATACGACTTGCACACGTTGTTCTGGCTTCTGGAGTAATATCGAGGGCTTTGCAGAGCCTGGTGAGGCTGGTGGTGATTCAGTGGTTGTGAACCTTTGCTAAGCAGGAGCTGAACTGGAAGGGGCCGTAAGCTTTCATTTCTTGCACAGGGAGTTGCAGGTGAGGCTGTGAACTTGTCAGTTTTTGGAAAGCACCCAGTGATGTGGTTTCTCTGTCCTCCTCTCAGGTTTGATGGATGGTGCTCTCAGCCCCACAAAGGTCTCTTAGACAAATGACGTGCTCAGAGATGTTCTTTGGGTTTGCCGCAGCTCTGGGTTTAACACTGACAGCGTTCCAGTTGCACTTTGATAAAAATACATCGCTAAAATATGCGGTCTGTGTACGGTACACGCTGTACGCAGGATGCAGCTAATGTTTGACAAGACACCACAGCATTAATAAAACAGCGAGAAAATAGGGCGTGCTGGCAGTTTTGTTTGCATACTGATGAGGAACCTTTTCCTGCTTCTTCCTGGCTGTCGTGCTTTTTGTTGTGAGTTCTGTGGGCCTCTCCACTGCTGGGTGAGGCAGGCAAACCTTTGGGTGACTAAGCTTTCATTCAGGATTGTTTTTTTCCCAAGGGTTCTGCCATTTTTTTGGTCTAGTGTGTTAGCTAGTCATGGTTTTGTTCTGAGCTCAGAGTGGTGGCTTAAATCAGTGCCTGCCCTCCAGTTTGTCCTGCTGGAAGGTGGGATGACTGCATCCCGCCTACGCTGCTCATAGTTTCAGGCAGAAGTTAAATGTCTAAAAATAGTCTTGCAAATTTTGATCTCTCACTGAGCAGATCCAGTGTGGAAGCATAAATGGGTCTACTGGAGAGCATGCAGGGTGGTCCTGGGGGCTGATGGGTGCTGCAGCAGCTGCTACTAACTCTCATCTGCTGGGACCCTGTGGGGAAAAAAGCAACAGATTAAAAAAAAAGTCAGAGTCCAAGAAATGAGTGTGTTTATCTTAATGAAGTTCCTTGTCTTTGAAAAGGACTAGAGGAAAAGAAATCGAACTGCTCTTGAAGTCACCCAAAGCTTTGTGACTTTGCTGCTTGCTGTAGGAGAACCTGGGCTATTTCTGACCCCTGTGTAAAGAATGTTGTAGCTATAATTGTGTTTGACTTCCTGCCTAGAAGGAGTCTTTAAAATCAAGACACGCTGCAGAAGGGCAAGAGTCTTCCTTGGATTCTGATGTTGCGTGCCCCCCAACTCCAGTCCAAGTCCTTCCTGGAGATGCTGACAGTAGCCTGTCTGGCCAGAACAAGGAAGAGTCTGATGGGGAACTCACTGGGGATGAACTTCTGGGCAAGAAAGATGCTGAGGTGGAAGGTGACATCTCTGCAGCTGATGAGCTGCCCCTGTCCCTGGGGGAAAGGACTGCGGCAGGGACAGGTGTGCCCAGTGGTCCTGGGCAACCTCAAGGTGCTGCTGAGGCGGATCAGCTGGAGAGCCTGGCTGCCACCATCGACACCGTGTCTGTTGATGAAAAGATAGTGAATGAAATGGGGGAAGAAGCAGCAGCTGATCTGCAAACAGACAGCAGGCTGGATGCTGGCCAAGTAAGAGACCTGCCTGCATGGGCTGGGTTTGGTGTGGAGGCTGCTGGGGGGCTCTTGGAGCACTTACTTGTTTTCTGTGAAGTCAGGGTAAGCGGTTCCCTAATCAGCAGGGTGCTGCTGGCAGGGCACGGGTGCTCTGAATTCCCTTATTGGATCTTTGGTACGGAGCTAGGAAATCATTCTTTTTTGCATACACAAAGTGCTGTCTGAAGCAACCAACAGGCAAAAACCCTGAGCTGTGATGAGTGCTTCAAGTCTTGGAGGAGAAATAAGTCTCAGCTTTCAGTGCTGCCATCTGCACGAAGGAAGCAGGTTTCATGATAAAGTTCACACCAAGCCCAGCTGTCCGCGCTGCTTTGTTCCTCTCCTTCTGTTGTTTCTCTCAGCTTATGCAGAGATGGAGAAAAAGTGTAAAGCGAGCTGCCAGCTGCTGTATTTGCAGCTCTACGGCAGGGTGCAACGAGGAGGTGTGAGGGTAGGGTGGGGAAGGATGATGGCACCTTGGGGCTGGCTCCAGAGCTGTAGCTCGAGTCCACCAAGCACAGTACCTGCTGCTCTGCCCACTGCTCCTCTGGGAGGAGAACTGGCAAATGGCAAACTGCAGCCAGCTGAACCGGGGGTGTCCTAATGTCCTAAAGAAATGATAGGATATAAAACTGAGTCTGGTAAGCATATTCTGTCCTGAAGAGCTTAAAGTTGCTTTTACAAACACCTGCATGCTTGCTTTGCGTGTCTGGGTAGCTCTGGTGAGGTCAAGCAGGGCTGTACTGCCGTTCGCATGGAACAGGTTTCACAGTGGCTGGGGATGTGGGAGTCCTCCCTGCAGTTGGGCAGGGCAAGGGGGGCTTCTAAAGTCCTTCTAGGATCATGGTACTGTTCTGTGTGGTGTTACCCATTTGTCTGGTGGGGTGGGGAGTTCTTAGAGGTGCAGAGATGCTTGCAGAAGGAACAGAGGACAGTAAGCAAGTGCTTTTGGTCAGGGATACGTGAAGAGCATGTGTGTCCTCCTCCCCAGTCCCATCCCTGCCCCTTCCCCAGTCCTTTGTCTCTGAAGTGGTGTTTTGTGCTTGCCTTGTGGGTCACACCTTAGTGTCTGTCCTCTGCTGTTCAATCACCTTTTCTTCCCTATTTGAGAGGCCAGATTTGTCCTCTCAGTGTCATTGTCACCTTGTTGGCGATGCCTGTGTGAGGCTGCAGGGGTAAGTCCTGGACAGACCATAATGCACATCTCCTCTCAGCTTTCAAAGGCACCCGAGACCAGCGACTGCAGTGAGGACTTGCAAGTCTCTATCCGCTCGGGGGGTGAGCCGATTCAGCCTCTGGTGAGTCACTAAAATCTCCTTGTCCCTGGAGTGTGGGCTTCACGTTCCTCTGGGAATGGGGCATGGCATGAGCTGGCTGCACCTCTTGTGGTCCAGCTGCCCAGCTCCTGAACTGCTGAGCAATGGCCTCGCAGCTGTGGCACGGGCCAGCGAGGCCATCCTGCATTTAGCAGGTTCTGGCTGTGGGGGAGGTAATATCCCTGGAAAAGTAGGTCACTGAGAGCTGGGATTGTGCTCAGATAATTGCAAAAAGGAAAATAATAAGCAATGTTGAAATTATGCTTTAAGGGGCTCAGCAGCTTTTCCTGAGGGGAGTCTGTGTGGCTGGAGACCTGGCTCCTGAGGGTCCTGGAGGGGGAGACTGTGCAGCAGAGTCTCCCTGAGATGGGGGGAGATGCCCATCAGCATCTCTTCGTCTCTGCAGGAGACTGCCATTGCCATCTGCCAGTGGGAGCAGAGGCGGTGTGGCCAGCAAACGGCTGAGAATATCATTATTTATCGGTGTTAGTAGGAGCCTGTGTGTTGGCAAGTGCTGCTGCCTCAAACAATACCTCTGGTAGTGCTGGCTTGTGGGTGTGTGCACAGACACGCACGTGCTCTGTGCAGGAGCTGACTTGTGGGGGAAAGTCTCATGAAATTTGCAGCAGTATCAGGCGTAAGAGCAGCAGAGGCTGGGGGAAGATCCCCTTGCTTTGGACGTACCATGTGTCACCTCCTGCCTGCTGGGATGGGGGGCATGGAGGCATGCACTGGTGGTGTGACAGCTCACTGCCCTGCAATCTCACAGTGTCCCCAGCGTGGCACTGCAGACCCCTGGCCTTGCAGGGAGAGTTTGAGGGACTGGAATCCTGAGTTACTGAGTGCCACTGTCTGCCATTGTCCCAGCAGGGACTCTGCAAGAACCTCCTTGCCTCCCTGAGCCCCTGCATCTTGGGAGAGAGAAAACCCCACTTGCTGCTGGTGGAGCCCCTGTCTGTCTGCAGGACAGATATGACCTGGGCTTGGGTGCGCGCCTGAGTCTTGGTGTAGCCATCTCCTTTGTCCTGCAAACCTTTGGAATTGTTCAAATATCCAGGGCTACAAAAGCCTTGCTGCCAGTGGGGTGGTGAGGTGGGCTCCAAGCTGTGGTAGGATTCTGGTCTAGTCTCACGATCTCGGGTGCAGCCTGTGAATGCTCATCAGACACTGATCCTTTTCTGCTGTCTTCTGTAGGGCTTGGGCTTCCTGAGTCAGTTTTCCGAGCAGGTGCTGGATGTGGGGCTTCTGTCTCCTGCTTTGGGCAGCCCCATGGGCAAGGTAAGTGCTATGTGTATGATCGGGGGATGCTCTGTGAATAGACACAGTAAAATGCTGTGTTGTGGTGCACTCATAACAGTGCATAAAAGCTTTGTAGAGGCAAGCAGAAGTGATGTGTTAAGTGTCAGGGATTAGAGCATTGTTGTTTCTGCAGAGATGAGGTACAGGTAGCTAAAGAACACAAACTTGGCTTATGAGGAGTGCATGCATGCAAGCTCATGTGTGCTTTCCCTGCCCCAAAACGAGAGTAGATCGTGGCTTTCCTGGGGAATGGTGGGAAGCAAGGTCTATTTCACTTGGTTCTTTTGTGAGTATATTTGTCCTTTTTCTTAAGCAGATGGAAAGGACTTGTGTAACAGAACATGATAGCATGATTGGGAAGAAAAGGAGGTTTGACTCCCTCTGACAGATTTTGGTATAGGGGAGCTTATTTTTAAGCATTTGGTTGTCTTGCCTGCTTTCATGGAGGGGGGAAAATCTAGGCTCCTTGCAGTGAGTCTGTGGCATATGAAGGAGTGTAGGTATGCATGCACGTCTGTGCTTCCTGTGGTGTGTTAGCCCGGGATGTAACTGGGATTGGGCAGTTCTGAGTGAAGACGACTGCTGTGCATCTGGAGGCTTTCACCTTGTCTTCTCGGCGTGTTACCGAGAAGCCTCTCCATCCCGGCTCCCAGCTTGCTGGCTGGCAGAGCGTGCCGCACGGTGAGGCGGAGGGCTGGGCTCCAGCTGGGGTTTACTCAGCCTTGCTCTGATTGTAAGTGAGCTGATCAGCTGCGCTGGAGGAGACCCTGAGTGGCAAACTCACCACCCGTCCAGTGGAGAGGAGCAATGCGGTTTGTGAGGTTATGTCTGGAAAACACACCTGTCCTCTTGTGCCTCATAATGAGGATAATCAGATGTGAAGGGAAAACAAAACCCACGCCTGCTGTGTTCTCCTCGCTGCTGCACAGTCACCGTGCATGCAAATGGCTGGTTGGAGCAGCCGTGCTCGGTGCTGGTTACAGCCCTGTCTCGAGGAGGAGGGGGATTTGGAATGGTGCTCCGCGCTGGACTGCAGCAT